CCCCAAAACCCCAAAACCCCATGATAAGAATTGGCCAGAAAGCAGGAGAAATTCGAAAGTTGAAATTTTATTCATTAGTTTATGTTTATTAATTATTTGACTTCAAATTTATAAAAAATTCTATAAATCAATGAGAAATTAAAGCACTAAAAGAATCATTATTACTGAGAGGAAGAATTAGACAGTTCTGAGGAGTGTTTCAAAAACTCCCTCATCAACAAAGAATTTGAAGCCAGCAATATATTTGAACAACAAGTAGATTTTGAAAAATGTAACTAGCAAATTGTATAATTCTCACAATCGCAGCTTATCAGAAAGAAAGCTTTCATCAAGCCATTAAAATTGCAATTCTGAGAAAAATCTTTTGAAAAGTATGAAGTTCGAGATACCTGCCAAGTATGTATCCGAAGTTAACCCCACATTGGCCAGTGATGACTATAAAGATTACATTAAATCTTTAGCTGATCACAAAGATGGTGGAGATTACCTCTAATTCCTTAGATAATTTGTATATCTAAAGCCTTAACCTCACAAACCAGGATGCTTCTACACTTAGAGATACAAAGGACCTAATCATAAATTCTATTTCCATTTTATCTCAGAGCCAAGTACTTGGTGGGATAGATTTGCTAAGAAATTTGAGGATACAAATTAAAGTAAAGAATAAGGAATAATCTTTTTGCATGATATGCTAGAATTTATTAAATTGACATTTGAGAAGGGGCAAAGAAGTCCATATCAAAAGTATCTATTCAGTAAATAAGAAGTAAAGGATTTTATCTTAGGAAGATAATATGCCTAAGCATTGTAATTTTTATCAGATCTCATTAATTTTGAGATTTAAGATAATTCATAAAATGAAAAATTTTTGGGATGCATTAGGAATTTAAGCTTAATTTCCAAAAAATGTGGAAATATTTACTACAGAGTGTGCTCCAACATTATACAAAACTAAGATTCTAAAATATTCACTCTAGTGATGGACTATTACGATAAAATTCTGTATGAAGACCATGCCAAATTAAACAGTCAAATTATGTCAATCTTTGATTTCTACTATAATGGTATAAAATAATTTAGAAAGCCCAAACAGTACACAAGATTTCTGAATATAATAATCATTTCACTCTAGAGTTTATTTGAAAAAATTTCATCAGGGGCAAAATTCATGTTGAAATTCTAAATTTAAAGCTCATCAATAGAATTCTTTGATAAATATGCTTCATCATTGGCAGATAAGATCGAAGAAAAAGAATTTGATGCTGAATTTAAATCAAAACTAAAATTATACTTTGAATAAGGAAAATATGATCTATTGGTTCAAAGCTATGACATACTTAGAAAATATATGTATATAAATTCAAGTGTTACGGTTGATAGTATAATGTAGCATTTGAGATCTGTTATAGTCTTATTTACTGCAAGATTAAAAGAAGAGTAAGAATTTTAAAGACATGTTTGTGAGAAATCGATCATATATGACTTAGTGACAGATGGATTCAAATCCACTAATCATGGATATAATGATAACTAATTAAATGAGTTTTGCAGTTTAATTACTTATCTACTGGAAGAAGCAAGGTGGAACAAAAAAATTTTCCATTATTTGTCAAAGATTAATTATAAGTAATTAATGGAAATCGAGCACAATAAAGAAAACAACTTCTTGAAATAAATTAACGACGATTTTCGGGTAATACATTCAATAAGAAGGATATATTAAGTCTAGATTTATGCTGCTTGCGCCTGATTGATTCATTATAAACTATCTATGATATAATAAGTAAAATATAAGCATGTGCTCTAATGTAAAAACTAAATATTGATATTATGATATTATTTTAATTGATATAAATTTATTTAATTAAACTTTAAACAGCTAATGGCATTTTGGGGTTTTGGGGTTTTGGGGTTTTGGGGTTTTGGGG